TATGTTAGACTCTTTTCTAAACCTAAAATCTTGAGTTCAAAGTCCTCACTTATGTCTTGACAGTAGCTTTCAGGCCCATCAACACAGGATAAACACATTTCTTCTCTTTCAAGCTACAGAATCATATTCTCTTTATATCTGTTAACATACTTTTTCAAAGGAAAAGAACTTTGTTCCCCCCACACACACAAAAAAAATCTCTTTTTCATCTAGTTACACTAGGCCAGTAAGAATAAAAAGACTTCCAATTTAATGGCATGTCTTAATTCCCCGAGACCAGGGAAGAAAAATAGAGGAAACTAAAATGAAAATGGACAATATTAAAACATCCTTCTTGGATGAAGTTAAGGGGCTTTTATAATGCACACCCTGCCTGTATTACCCAGTGACTGCAGGGGCTTTGACGCCATGCCTGGTCATTCAAGAGGTCTCAGAGCCCCGTTTTAGGCATCATTGAGAGTAACAATGGTTCAGTCATTTTACTTGTGGATCATTGTTAATCCAATAACATTTATCATGGGGCCTCCTTGGTGGTGCAGGGGTTAAGATGCAGCACTATGAAACTGTCAGCAGCCACTGCAGCTTGAGTTTGATCCCCAGCCAGGGAGCTACCCACAGGGCCCAGCAGACCTCTCCTGTCTCCCCGCTGCTCCCCTCAGCAGTGGATTTCAATAAATCTCCCTGTTCTGTTCCCCACTCTGTCTCTGGTGAATCCTCTCACCCCCCACACCTCTGGCCTGTACCCCAGTTCTTGTATGCATAAATAAAATAAATCTTAAAAAAACAACATTTATCGCAACATTTAATCCAATCAGAATAGCAACGGAATGAATTATTTCCTGCTATCTATTATTACCATCCCTAGTGAGAGAGATGGTCAGTTTATCCCCAAATGATCAACTTGGTATGCATATAGGCATAAGACTAACCAAGAAAAGTTGAATATTGTTATTATTCATACATATATGTGCATTGTATGTGATAGATAGGCAAAACTTGCTCTTTAAGCAATATCGTCTATATGACAACACTTTTCTCTAACATCGGTGGTAGATAAGCATGCTCTAGCCTGTCTGATTACGAGCTTTGTCACGCATATCCAAATAGGACACCAGTCCCAGGGGTACTACGGCTGCGGGGAACTTTCCTGCACCCCCTCAGATGTGTGCCACCCACATGAAGGGTGCTTTCTCTTCTGATGCTTGCAATGGGTTCTACTAACTGACCTTATGATGTCAACAGACAGACTTGCTTAAAAGAGCAAAACACAAAATGGAATGAGAATTGCATGCACTCAATTATTCATTTGCTTCAATACATAAGAAGATATGAACGCCACAGCCAGGTGGTTCGGTCTCAATGTATAATCTCTCCTCACTAAGGACTTTAAAAAGTATTTAGCTGGATGTGGCTGTAATAAGTGGGGTGGGAAGCAGCGATGAGTAGAGACAAGGCAGAAACCAGGGTCTTAAGCATCTGATTCTTTATGGATGATAAGGCAAGATGGGACCTAGGGGGTCCTTTAGCTTGGACTAAACTTGAGCTTACAACCTCACTCTCCTTTTATAACACGTCTTCACACACCCACGTACGTCTTCCCACCACTTCAGAGTGATCCCAAGAGAAGCACAGACACAAAGAGAAAACCATTTAGAAGATTGTTTCTCTGCTGGCTAGGGCTTTAGTCCCACATCACTGAGTAGAACTTTATCTCTATGAGCTGAGAAGACTTTGCAGTAAGAGCTCCTTTATCCAGGAAAAGCAGGCTCTAGTGTGCTCTTCCCTCTTCTGGAATGATCTCTACCCCCTCGGGCCTGTCCGTCTGTAGGGGGCCTTTCCTACTCTCCAAACTAGGGCACATGTCCTTTTTGACATGCTGTTTGAATATCTGTCCTTTTTATCAGTATTCATCACACTTTTAGTTTTGTTCACTATCTTCATCCACACCTGGCAAGCCACAAGGGGACGTGTGCCGTAGTTGTCTTGTTCACTTCTCTGTCTCCAATCCCTTAAACAGTGAGTAGCACAGATTATAACCTCTGCATATTTGATGGAGGAGGCCAAGGGGCATGAATGTGCAGCACTCAGCGAAGTCACATTAGAGATGCTCGGTGCATGCTGACGGCAGTTGTGTGAGCCACCCCGTGGATTTGTTGCGGTCCTGAAACCAAAGCTTGTTTAGCTTCATGGATGGACATTTTGACAGAATGCCCACTGCCTGTCATCCCCAGAACAGTGTTTCTGCAGGCTCCCAATTCTCTTCTGTTGAACTGGACTTGCTTGGTAGGCAAGGTTAGGACACCCCTGGCTTCTTGAAAAAACAAAACCACTTGCAGATTGTCTAAAACCAGAAGGGCAACCATCAGCGTTGCCTGGGAGGTGGTTAGCAGCATGCCCTGTCCCTCTCTTCTTCCTCTGCTTCTCTGCAGCACTGGTCGGAGTAGCTCATTTTCATAGATTGTAGGAAAAATGAGAATATTCTATTTTCAGGTGTTTTTCAGATATCTGGTGTGGTCTGCTGTGTGTATAGAAACTGTTGTGATGAGCCATCGGCAACTGAATGCCATAGAAATGTTTAGGTCAGTTCCCTGCCCAAAACTGAGCCTGCTCTATTTATTCCATTTTTGTTCACTATGAAACTAAGCAGGGATGTAATCTGGACCACACCTGATGCCATGGGCTGCCCAGAGGGGTCTTCATCCCTCAGCCCCATCTTGTCAGAGGGAATGAAACTGACCACAACTTACTATTGTTAAAAACTTCCCAGTGAGATGGAGAGCCGTGTGGAGATTTCTTGACCTACTAAACATAGAGCTTCCATAGGATCCAGCAATTCCACTCCTAGGTATTTACCCAGAGGACACAGAAACATCAACTCCAAAGAGCACCTGCACCCCTATGTTTATAGCAGCACTGTTTACAATAGCTAAGCTATGGGAACAACCCAGATGCCCAAAAATAGATTACTGGATCAAGAAGATGTGGTCCATATACACCATGGAATATTACTCAGCCATCAAAAAAGATAAACTCATGCCATTTGCAGCAACATGGATGGCGCTGGAAGGGATCAAGCTCAGCGAAATAAGCCAGAAAGAAAAAGAAAAATACCAGATGGTCTCACTCATAGCAGGAGTCTAGAAAACTTAAATAAGGGATCAGGAAAAAAGAATAACCATAAGAAAGAAAATATCAAAATCAACAAAGAACTATGAACCAGAGACACTCTACGGGGGAAGGAGGGATTGGGGTCAAAATAAGTGGGTTGCAATTGTATGGGGAATATAAAAATAAAATTAATTAAAAAAAAAAAAACTTCCCAGTGAGACCAGAGCAAATAGCTGTGAAACCACCAAGTGACACGTTTACCTGAGGATTTCTAATTGAGAAGAGTCTGATTCAAGCTTATCCCATGTGTCAACCCTGTGCCTGCCTGGTTTGTACTTTATTCTGAAGGAAATGGGTGGGAGGGGACTCTGAGCTCTTGGAGCAGGTGGTGAGATCAGATTTGCTCTAGGAAGATTAGTCCAGTAGGGGTGCAAAGACAGATGGGGGGGTGCAGATGGGATTGGAAAACCAGCCCCAGAGCAGGGGCAGTGGGAAGTCGACCCAGAGCCAGAAGACTTGGAGTTGAGGATGGAGGGACAAGTGAAGAGGACAGAGGCCCAGGCCAGTGGAGGGAGCGTGGAGAGAAGGCCCAGGCCTGCAGGGGGAGCGGGAAGAGAAGGCCCAGGCCAGCGGAGCAGTGGTGTGCATGCGAGGACACAGATTCTCCTGCACAGGCACAACAACACACCTTGTAGCGTGAGGAATATGAGACAAGAAGCAGTTTTTGAGCCGAAGTGGCTGGGGACCTGGTTGTATCGTTGGTAAATATGGCTATAGAGGGAAGAAAAAGAACACATTTATAGAGGAAACAACTTCGGCATGAACTGAGTTTGAGGTGCTGGCAAGGTCCAGACTCTTGGGCAGGGGAGTTGGCGTGAAGAACCACGCCGGGACAGCCCTCGCGCACCCCCGACCACCGCGGCCTCTCCCCTGCCGGCAGCTGCGCCCCTTGCTCGCCCGTCAAGGGCACATAATGTGAGGCCAGAGAGAGTCTTTTCTTTGCAAGAGAGAACATCTCACAAATTAGAACCACCCTTGACTCTGTCCTGGCATCATCGCGGTCATCGTATTGCCTCCATCCCGGCCCTGGACATTCTCTCACAGGTGTCCTCTGTCATCTGCTTAAATATTGGGGCTTTGAGTCATCTTCGACAGTAAACGAGTTCCTGTGATTGGGGAGACTAAGAAAGTGTGGGGGTCTACCAAATGCATCGCGCCAGCTGTGGTGCCCTGGTCCCTGGCCCCCTGCACCCCCACGGGACCACACGGCACCCCCAGAGTCTCCTGTCCTTCTGCAGACAGCTTGTTCCTGAGCTTCAGGATTGCTCTTTCGCTCTGCGTTCCTTTGTTCTCAGTTATTTGCTGTGGATATAAAGTCGTGGATTTTTAGAAGTGTTTTCGCTGCTTTCTTGGGAGTCTGAATAGAGTGTCTTCTACCAAGAATATTCGCGGTGTTTATCAGGTTCTACTCACACACACAGTACCCAATCCTCTTCCTAAAATAATGTCTGTTGTATGGTAATGACTCAGGACTAGTGTGCGTTGTTGACTGAGAGGAATTGTTGCACACAAGCCCCTTTGCTGTCAACCTTCGTGGCGCCTTTAATGCCAGGGATTGACCGATCTTTGGCCATGCACCCCACCCATCCATCACTGCCTCTTCTGTGATGGGGATGAGTTACTTTTCTAGGGCTGGCGAGGAATCAGGACTCGCAGGGGGGCAAAGAGTACGCGGGAAAGTCCCAGTGCGGCATTAAGGGTGACGGTGCCTCCTTGGGCACTGTGAGGATGGGGCTCAGCGCATTGCGAGACTGACGGAGTTAAGTCTTCACTTTAATGTCTAGGGATGAATACATTTCTCTCTCCTGCTTGTTCCTTCTCCTTCTGTACAGATGCGCTGAACCTCCGAAACCGACAGGTCATCTGTGTCACCCTCAAAGTCCTCCAGCATCTGGTGGTGTCAGCTGAGATGGTGGGTGAAGCTTTGGTGCCCTATTACCGTCAAATCCTCCCCATCCTGAACATCTTTAAGAATATGAATGGTGAGTCATCCCAGGAGTCGAAATGTCTTTTAAGCCCTAAAAAAAAGGGAGTGGTTTGAAGTAGAGTTAATTAGCAACACATTGAGGATTTATTATTGCATATAAACTAGGATCCATTTGGAAATCTAAATAGCATAACTCCCACCCCTTCTCTTGCTACTCCCTAGGGAAACAGTAAAATTAACAATTTCATTTATTACTCCTCACACGTACAGCTTACTTCCTCAGTACAGAAGCACTGAAGCAGTTCTAGAATCTTCCAATAATTAAATTGTAAAGTTTTTTAATAGTCTTTTGAATACATTAGTGTGTTTTGAGTTTGTCCTTTCTCTTGATAGTTTTTTCTGCCTTTTAGATACTTTTTGTTAAAATTGTTCTCAGCTTTTATTATCTGGATAAAGATGAATTTTTTAAATTTGTGCTATTACAATTTGGTACTCTTGTTTTGGAAAGTTTTAATATCGGTTCTCCCATCAAAAAACCTGGAAAATTTGTAGATGCTCAGCTAATGGTAAGTACTCATTAGAAATATTTACATGTCAACCCATTTGTCTAAAGCAATATCATGCAAGTTTTGAAAAGTTCTGCTGCTCTCACGCGATTGTGCTCTCTGGGTATTCGGTGGGGGTACATCTGCTCGTTGAGACTGTGATTTTCCTCTCATGCTTCCTGACATCATGTAAATCTAATTTTCTTTTATGTTGCTAACTTTGAAGTTCCATAATTCTCATATGAACAATGAAGTCAACATTTGAAGTTAATTCCTGACAGTAAATAAACTAGTAATTTACTGGAATCTGCATGAAAATGTTGCCGGATGGTCTGCTTGGTGTACGTATGAGAAAATATCCAGTAAGAGTCTGAATAGATGGAAGCTCCCACTTCATACAAGTCTTCTATTAGGAAGCACTATTTTTTCATATTATTCCTAAATTGCTATTGAAAGTCTGCTTAACCCGCAGACTATTCAGGAAATGGTGGAATCCTCAGAAAGTCTTTAGCTGTCTCCAATAGTAGGACCTACCTGTATGTTTAATACTAAACATGTTTAGTACAAACAACTTGAACTGGGATTGTGGGAGCTTAAGAACACTCACAATAGAGTGAGTTGATGTTCATTCCAACATATCTAAAGGCTATATGATATCCAGTCCAGAATATCTGGAAGCTGTATGTTAATGTGGACATTTAAACAAGATGGTTATAAACATAGGTAGGGGTGCAGGTGCTCTTTGGAATTGATGTTTCTGTGACCTTTGGGTAAATACCTAGGAGTGGAATTGCTGGGGGTTGCAATTGTATGGGGAATATAAAAATAAAATTAAATTAAAAATTGAAAAAATAAAATAAACAAGATGGTTATACTTTCAGAAATTAAAAATTGGGTGTTTTTAAATGAGTTTCTTACAGTCTAAACTGAAAGTTTTAGTAACTGCATTTCTACTTTATGGAAAAGGCTTATTTAAATATTTTTGAGTCATAACTTAGAAATTGACTGTGTAGCAGCATCAAATATCCACATGTAACCAACCCCAAATGGCTCCACGTACACACATTCTCAACTGCAGTTCAGACAAGAAACCCTTTGTTCATCCATTGTATTTAGGTTCCAGCTAACTTGAGGGAGGCACTAACAGAGGTGATAGAGATCAAGATAATAAAGATGCATGGAGAGGTGGAGAGGGTAGTGGAGATGGAGATGTAATGTTGATGGAGATGGTGATGGAAATGGAGATAGTGATATAGAGATGGAGATGGTGATGATAATGGAGATGGAGATAGTGATGGGGATGGTGATGATGATGGAGATGGTGATGATGATGGAGATGGAGATGATGATGGAGATGGAGATAGTGATGGAGATGATGATGGAGATGGAGATGGTGATGATGATGGAGATGGAGATAGTGATGGGGATGGTGATGATGATGGAGATGGTGATGATGATGGAGATGGAGATGATGATGGAGATGGAGATGGTGATGATGATGGAGATGGAGATGGTGATGATGATGGAGGTGGAGATGGTGATGATGATGGAGGTGGAGGTGGAGATTGATGCAGAGATAGGGAAGTCTAGAATGATTAAAGAAATAGAAGAAATCAGACCCCCAAAGTCTTGGGGAACATTTTGTAAGTGTGTGATTTGCAAGTGTTTCCTCTGTAATCCTCACAGAAACCCATATGGATGTATACCATCATTTATGTGTGCTATAAATATTTCCATTTTCTCCTAAGAGTTGCCCCCTGAAACCTTGCTCCGGTATCCACTTGGGTCTCCACACCTGACCTCACAGAGATGAGTCTCCCCCATTCTCCTCCCTTGCTGAGCCTGAGGGGAGTAGGCTGTTCCTACACATTTTTAATGATCTTCTTGTCCCACAGTGGAAGGTGTAGCTTAAATCTAAACATCATTCTGTGTCTTTGTATAAAAGAAAAACAGTGATATTCAAAAGACAATTACAAGCTCCCTCATCCTCAAGGAAACCTGTGCAGAAGAATAAGTGCAGCTGCCAACAAGGCAGATAAATCTCATTGGGAGGACAGGTTCGTAGACAGAAGCAACTGGTTTCCACATCTTCCTCATTATACTTTCCATTTAATTTTTCAGCTCACATGTGAACAAAAGGAGTGATTCACTTTCAGAGTATGTCCCTCTTAGATCTTATCCATGGGAGGGATTCATACCCATGGACCCCAACCTCGCTAATTATTTTTGGAACATTTCTGAGTGCATGTGCCAGGAATTCTACATCCAACTATTTCTCAGCTCAATATCTTTCTGACATTTGAGGAGAAAATATTAGCTTCAGTTTCATTTTCTACTTATCTGAAAAACCTGTCAGTACAATGCCACAATGCCACTGACTGCATTTCCACAGGGTCATATTATAAAATTGGAGCATGCTAGCTTTCTAACCTCAAGCCATTCTTCCAAGTGGCCAGGCTACCACAGACCCAATTCTACCAGAAGGAGCTAATCACTAGAGTTCCCAGCACAGTGGTGTTTTCACTACCAAAATAATTTTGCTTTCATTTCATTTTTAGGAAATCCTGCTTTATGTATTCATATTCACAGAACCATCTATACTTCTCTTATGTAAGCAGGTGTCTTTAGTAGTGGATACATCTATTTTATTTTTTTTTTTTTTTTTTTTTTTATAGAGGCATGTTTTATTTATTTATTTGTTTGTTTGTTTTGTTTATACATGCACTGGGTACAGTCAGAAGCGCGGGAGGGTGAGAGAATTCACCAGAGCCAGAGCGGGGAGCAGAGAAGGCAGAAGGACCAAAGTACACTGCTGAGGGGAGCAGCGGGCGGCAGGAGAGGTCTGCGCGCCATGTGGGATCCTCTGCCGGTGGCCGGGGAGCAGCCGGGGATCAAACCGGCGCCGCAGAGGCCGCGGGCAGCTTCGCAACCCAGCGCTCAACCGCTGCGCCACCGGGGAGGCCCGGATACATCTATTTTAAATGAAAATTACATGAGAAACATGTAGCACGTAGCATTAGACAAAAATCCATCCTCACTTTTGATGTGTTTGAGAATGATTCCCCACATTTCCATGTTTCCTCTTTTCCCTAATTAACTTTCCTGTACATCAATGTCTAGTTAAATTCAGACTCAAACCCATTTCTCTCAAGTCCCACCAGAGAATATATTTTTGAATGAGACCAGGTACAACTGATAGAAAGAATGAAAGACTAGTGCCTGGAACGCAATGACCTTGTCCCCTGTGCACTTCCACGGAGACAGAAAGCCATCACCAGGCCCACAGAATTAGTCCAAGCCTATGGGAAAGAACAGTTCTATATTTCTTTTTATGTGGGATAATTTCTCACAAGGTAGAATTAAACTATAGTTTAAAAAAAAAACACAGATAAATGCAAGGCGTGGACAGATAAATGCAAGGCGTAAAGAGTAGCATTTGGAGCCAGAGACCTGTGACCCTGGGCAGCCCAGGTGTCGTCTCGGGACCTAACCTCCATCCTCTATGCAGAATCCTGACGACCGTGACTTTGGCACAGTTGAAGTGACAATGCAAGGCAGTGTCTCATTGCCCATTCTCGGCCAGCCTGGCCTTGAGTGGGTATTAAAAAGGCAGCCACTGTCATCACACGTTACTCGCATTGATTATTGTTAGATACAAATACAGAGAGACCATCAGCATTATTAGCAGGAATTGTGGGTAGGCAGCTGGGTATTCTGTGCCCCGCTGGGTAACCCGTCCTTTGACCCTTCTGTGATCTTTGACGGGACAGCAGTGCCTTTGGGTTTTTCCAGCTGCAAATATAATATCCCTTTGCTTCCAAGAATTCCTCTTGCCTCTGATTGCCAGATGCAGGGGGAGGGGTGATAGGGGGAGCCAGCAGACATTCAAAACCAGGTAACTGGTTTTCACACCCACCCCTCCCTGGCATAATCTTTAAACTTGAATATGTGGCTGATGTTTGGGGGTATGCCATATTCAAGAAGAGAAGCTTGAGTGTGACAAAGAAGGGTGTCTTCTGCCTGGGAAGAACCAAGCTAGCAGCGAAGACTTTGAGCCATTTTCTTATATTCTAAACAATAAATTTGGGGGGGTGGGGCGGGTGCCTCGATCATGCTGTCTTTGCAATGTCTGCTTTGGGATGAAAGCAAAAGAAGTTTCTGTAATGCAATTTCTTCTTTCCTGTGTTCTTTCACAAATGTTATTAAAGGTTACAGAAAATTAAGACAATAGGAAGGCGCGATTTATAGCTTTCAGATGGAACTACAAAATTAATGATGCGGTGCATCGCTTTTGAGAAGCATGAGGCAATAAATGGGGCTAGAACTTTCCTAGCTGGAGTTAGGGGCTCTGCTGGCAGAACTGGCTGCCCACCCAGCAGCCCCATGGCTGAAAGCAACCCCTGTTCTGTCTCCTTTCTTCTAACTGTCCCCAAACCTCACACTCTCCAGCTCTCTGCAACTCCAGTGTGGTTATAACTTTGTCATAGAACAAGCACAAGCAAATTCGGCA